GTGGTAGAGTCGCCAAAAATACGAAAGTTGAACATTATGTTCATGCATGCAATAGAAAATTTGTGCTGAGTATGTCGAGTGGCCATTCGAACAGGACAAAGCCGTTGCGCAAGCTGTGACCCTGAAATTAATTATTTCGTCCATTGGTAGCGAGGGTAACCCTGAGCTGGAAAGTGTAAGGGATGGCATGCTACACTCCCCCGCATAGATCTACGCTTGACAGCACGATTTGAGGCGTGGAGTAGTAATATACCAGTATCTTACTACCCCCTGATACCTGATGCATGGACGTCGTCATCTTATTTATTTATTTATTTATTTATTCAACATCTCCTGGCCCGTCCGAAGACTGCCAATAAACATGAGAGGTCAGGTGATAGCCAACCACGGCAAGCTAAAAGGGAGAAAAAGAAAGATGCTGTCAGAGAGGGAAAGGAGATAGGGAGAGAAAAAGAAAGGGAGGCACATTAGTAATACATGGGATCACTTCGGATGAGACAGTGTGGAAAGCTGGACTTTGAATTTCCTGATATCCTGGCATGTCTTAATGCTAGTAGGCAGGTTAGACCAAAGGGAGTATGCTGAGAAGAAAGGGGATTTCAAAAACAGAGAGGAACTAGCTCGGGGCAGTGATAAGGCATTGCGTGTTGGTCTAGTGGTAACAAACCAGTTGTACTTGGCAATATGTTTCGGGACTTGGGCTAGGAAGATTTTTGCACAAGGATACAAAGATGCTGCTGATGTCGGGCAAGAAGAGGGTGCGTGGAAGCAAGTTTATAAAGACAAAGGGAGGCAAATGTTTGGTCTTTTCGAAACAGAATTTTCAGAAGCAAGCGTTGATGTACTTCCAGTCTGTGGAGTAAAGTCTGAGACAACCCGCACCAAGCTATATCGCAATAGTCAAATATAGGCAAAATGTACGACTTAAAGAACAATTTTCTGCAGTTATCATTCAAGTGTTGGCAGTGGGGTTGTAGCATACCTAAGGACGCACTCGCACGCTTGCACACAGACTGGACTTGTGGAGACCAGGAGAGTTGGCGGTCGAGAATAACGCCCAGGTGCTTGTGCTCGTTAACAACTTTAATAGGTGTACTATTTAGACCAGGAAAATACAGAAGCTGAGTGGGGGGCGAGGGAGAGAAGAACATGGCCTCGGTTTTGGCGAGGTTAGGCTTCAGTTTCCAGGTTTCCATCCATGTTACTGTAGCGTTGACCCCGGACTGCATGGAGGCCGTGAGGTTGTCTGCCGAGCTGTCGGAGCACATCAGAGCAGTGTCGTCAGCAAAAAGACTTACATTTGGTACAAGGGCTGGCAAGTCATTAACGTACAGTAGAAATAGGACTCTAGCTTTGCAAGCAGACCACGATGCCAGACGGTGTCGAAAGCTTTCGCTAGGTCAAAGAACACGATGCCAACATGCCGCCTGAGGTTCCGCTGGGTGTAGATGTCTTGTACTAGACGTGTTAGTTGGAAAGTTGTGGAGTCTCCACGGCAGAAACCGGATTGAGATGGTGAAAGCGCTGGGGTGACGTGGCAGTACAGAGACTCAAAGAAAATACGTTCACAGACCTTTGACACAGCAGGAAGGAGAGAGATTGGTCTGTAGTTGCCAGCCTGAGAGCGTTGGCCTTTCTTATAGATCGGGACGATAACAGCAGATTTCCAGACGGACGGAAATACTCCTGTACGATATGACATGTTAAAGAGCAGGCACAAGGGATAGGACAGAGATGGCGCAAGCCATTTGAGAACCTCATTGGGTATGCCATCTTCGCCAGGGGACTTACAATTCTTCAGGAGTTTGAGGTGCTTACAGACGGTAGCAGTCGTGGTAACGACGCGTGTGAGTGGTGCGCTAAGTTCAGGGGCTGGGGACAGCGATGGAATGTCCCAATTCGGATCCTCCGGAATGCCGGATGAAACAAACTGCTTGTTCAGTGTGTCTGCAATCGCCTTCACATCGTGCTGGTTGCGAATGAATTGGTGGAGTGATGGGCGATCGGGGGAGGAGAGTGTTGCAGAAAGAGAGTTTAGAAAGGAGCGGTGTGAGGTACGAGAAAGGTGCTTGACGAAGTTGCGTTGAACTCGGTAAGCCTCCCGGTTAACCGGCGTTGGGAATTTCTTGTAGATGCTGAAAAGATCACGCTTGCGCTTCACTTCAGATACGAGGGACCGTGTCACCCATGGGGGACTAGATGTCGAGGATGTTGGGTTGGAATGTTTCCGGTTGTTGTAGCCGATAGCAAAGTTAGAGAGGTGCTGTTGGAACCCTCGTTCAAGGACGGCTGCAAAGTGATCTACCGCGGCGTCAACAGTTGGAGAGCCTTCTGGTTGCAGAAACGACCAGTCGTGGCAGGAGAAATCAGCGTTCATAGAGTCCCAGCACTGAGAGGGAACTCGACGGAAGCGATATGGGAACGGTTTGCGAGAAGGAAGTGGCAGGTCTGGGTCCGAGGGCAATGAGACGGCGAACTGGCATGAAACCATGAGATGGTCCGAGGAGCCAAGAGCGCAAGCTGTGTGAACGTCCGTCGCCAGCAGGGGTTGGTTTGTGAAGACAAGGTCTAGACATGACTGTGTTCCGGAAGATGTTGTGTGCGTTGGACTCTGCACCAGCTGATCCAAACCGAAGCAGGTAAGGGTGCGAAAAAGTGCCGCCCCAGCAGGACACGTTAAATCCGATGGGCACCACCGTTTGTGCTTACTGTTGAAGTCCCCAGCCATTATGACATGGTACGATGACATGGGAACGGTTACCAAAGCACTAGCTAGCATATCACAGAAGTGGTCTATTTCCGTGGTTTTGACTGAGGGCGGACGGTAGGTACAGCAGACGAGGATGGGTGTCGGGGAGCCTAAGATTGGGTGAAGCTCAACCCATACGGATTCACAGGTCGGACGAGCAAGATCTTCATCCTGCAGATCGAAAATGTACAGGTGTCGCGTAATTTCGCGCAATGAATTATTTTGATATCGGTTCGAATGGCATATCAGTCTTGACTCCTGCTTCCATACGATAAGCCAAACTTGCCAAATCGCCATACTCACGTTGCCATAGCGACCAGCGCAGTGATGACGTACGAAAGGCTTAGCTTCAACACAGAGAAGGTCGATCACTGCAGAATTTGGTCATTTTCAATTGGTTTATTGTATTCACGAAGTGAAAGAAGGGCTGTGTTCAATGCTGTTAGTGCAGTGAACTGTTTGTTAGTAGTCCTCTCGGTTGTGTACTGGGACGTGACACCGACAGGAGAAAGCTGGAGTGCGGAGACACCAGCAGACAAGCGAAAATAGTGACGAACAAAATGCTGAAATCTTGGTGGGGACAAATCAGATGTTCAGCATTTCCCCCAACCAAAGACCATGCCGTTTGCTCTTTCCACTTCCTGAAGATGAATGTGATGCTTCCTGGCGACTCTCCTACATTGTATCTCTCGTAACATCTTCTGAAGCCAGGTGAGACGACGGGTGGTGGAGATTGACGAATGAAATAATGTCGTAGGTTTGAAAGTTTGCTGAAAATGTCTCAGGAGAGATGGCGAATTCCAAACATCTTGTCCTGGAGGAAACCATTTCCTAGGCACAGTCAGCCTAGGGAAATGCATGAGAAGGGCGATAAATAGTTCACGGCACTAACAGCATTGAACACAGCACTTCTTTCACATCGTGAATACAATAAAACAATTGAAAATGACCAATTTCTGCAGTGATCGACCTTCTCTGTGGAGGAGCTAAGCCTTTCATACGTCATCACTGCGCTGGTCGCTCTGGCAACGTGAGCATACAATTGGCGATTTGGCAAGTTTGGCTTATCGTATGGAAGCGAGAGATATGCCATTCGAACCGATATCAAATTGTCTTTCTTCTGGACCCTACTCGAAAAATCGATGCACTTCCCCTTTAAAAAAGGGGAAGTATACGCTGAAATCAAATGTTCACCATTTGTAGTCTTCGGGGTGCTGAGTCGAATGGTCTTGCTGTAGCGGGCCGCAGTCTCTCGGAGGCAAGAATACACAAGGGTCTCAGTGAACACACTGTAACTGGCAATTGAAATGTAACTATAACTGGCAATGAAATTAACTTTAACCTCCGCTGCCACCAATTTTGTAGCGCCATTGCTACCAATGTAAAACAGGTGGGGTCGAATCTGACAAAGTTAACTTTAACCACCGCTGCCACCAATTTTGTAGCGGGCCTGGAGGCAAAACAACCTAACAACTCGAAACTAACTTTATTAACAATTCTCTCTCTCTCTCTAGAACGGCAAAACTACCTCTAGCAGTAAAACTCTGAACTCATCGTGAAAGATAAAATAAACGCAATTTATGGAAAACAATCACAAACACCAATTTACTGTCATGCGACCGTTGTATGGTAGAACGAACGTCATATTGAACAGTACGCTGAGCGTGTACGCAAATGCTGAGCTTGTAGCGAACGTCGTATTGAGCAGTGCGCTGAGCGTATACGCAAATGCTGAGCTTGTAGCGTGACCAACGCTACATTGCCACTCTTGGTCCGAGGAAGCTGAGACACTCCCTTCCTCCTTTATTCCCAATCGAACTCGCGCACTTCCACCGAAACTGGGTGACTGCGCGACTCTGCGCCCTACTAAAATGGGGAATTGTATGCAAAAGTCACTAAAACAGTAAAAGCGCCGTTTCGTTCTTATAAAAGCACGGATGACCACGATTGGTCCATTTGTTGTAGTCTTTTGGACGTTAAGGCGAATCGTTCTGGTCCGAAAAGGCTGCAATGCAGCGTTCGGCCCTTATTCCCAATCGAACACGGGTCAGTAAGCGGTGATGTGCTCATGCGTACACCAGTCACCTGGTCACCGTGCCTGCAGGCTACAACTTTTACAGCGTTCCTGTCACTCGAGTTGAACCTTTGAACCTTGGTGTGAAAGTTGTAGCCTGCATGTCACAGAGTACATCTGACATATTTAGTGTCCACCGTCCTGAATTTTCCAAGATACTGCAGTCACCGACAGAACTACGAGTATAATTAAATTACCCTTTAAAATCGTTTATGGAATCCATAATTATAATACGATTTCTGGAAGATTAGATTGATAAATATATAGCAAACTATTACACACACTAGAAAGAAGAAATCAAAGCGTGCTGTAACTCCGAACTTCATGGTTTTACCCATCATCAGACAGCAACTTGACTACAATTCCCCGAAGAGGTGATTGATATAGGCTGCGGCAAGCTTAGATCATAGCGCGAGTGAATGATACGGGCTAATAGTGTGATATGTACATGGCTATGTTAGCAAAATATTATTCAGCGTACGTCTCAGTAATGCATAGCTAACCAGATTACCCGCGTGTTTTACACTGCTAACTGTCTACCAATGCCGGTGATCTGTATCCTATGTACAGGACTGTACAATTCCAAGTTCAGCCACAGTATACTCTCAGCCCTCAGATTACAGATCAACGTAAAATCCATAGCCAATTATCAATGCCAAAACATTCTAGTATAATAGTGTGTGACTGCATAACTACCAGGTGCATGTCAATGAAAGAAATTGCAGAGTTTCAAGAATGGTCCTCACTATAATTGAGAGTGACAGTACAGGCATCACCATGTTCTGATGTGATCACTTCAGCATGTTATGCACCCAGTGATGTAATCACATCAGTATGGTATGTACCCAGTGACGTAATCTCCTCAGTATGTTATCCACACAGTGACGTAATCACCTCAGTATGTTATCCACACAGTGACGTAATCACCTCAGAATGTTATCCACACAGTGACGTAATCACCTCAGTATGTTATCCATACAGTGACGTAATCACCTCAGGATGCGCTAGATACCGGGCAGAAGTAGTGGTGACTCGTCAGCATGCTCCTGGCTCTCCTGTGATGCCGGAGAGTCTGAGTGCTGTGGCTGTGGCTGTGTCTGTGTTAGCTTCTCACACAGTAGCTGCAATAGTCTGTTCTGCTGCTGGACAGTGTTTTCAAGCTGATCCATTCTGAGCACAAGAGACATGAATCAATTGGACAAACCATCTTAGCCCTTTCCGTGCTAATGACGTCTATAGACGTCATGCGCGCTGTACGCCAAACGACTAATGACGTCTATAGACGTCATGAGATTTGCGCAGTACATCGCAGTGCATAGATCAGTGTACAAACTTTTGTAACTCCGTCGAAAATATGTCTATCGCGACAATTGATGCACCGTTAACGTTGGAAAGCTATTGAACTCAGCTGTTCAGCGATACAAAGCTCTTTGCCATAGGAGAAAGATTGACGGAGCGGCGACGAAGTGAACACGAAATTCACGGCACTGAGCGATCGTGATTTTTTGTTCATGCGTTCGCAGTTTTCTGTTGCGTGTCAGGGAATTTTCTTTGCCACGGCGCATGCGTAATGGACACCAGCGGAAGCGCGGGGATCTCAGCTTTGCAGCGCAGTTTGAATACTCGGCTGACCTGGAGCAAGAATCTGAAAAAGAATGTGAGATCGAATTCCTGTGCCTTCCGAAGCATCGTGATGTAGCTTCAAGAGGACGTAGAAGTTGCACCGCTTTGCATATTGAGTTGAGAGCTACCAGGATGGATTTACTTGGTCCTGATCTTTCCAACAAGCCCAGGATGATGAAAATCCATCAAGGTATACTGAATTGATAGAAAAATTCGTTCGGACATGGGCGCGAAAACGACACCAGGAGAGTCAGTGCACTGGAAAGGCAGTTTGCTGGAGTAAAAGAGGCCAGCATGGAAAGGGTTTTAAAGGACACAAAATCGACGGAAATTATTCAAACAAACCAATATCCAAAGGATTGGGAGAACTTCGAATTCAAAGGATCAGTCAGGGAAGTGAACTGCCTGAAAAGAGAAAAATGCCAACCCCAACCGGACTCAAACCTGGGACTTTGCTTGTCATGAGCAATTGCTCTAAACACCTGAGCTATGAGACCAGGCCAAACCTAGAAGATGCTGACAAGTTTCGCACTCGAAAGGCAGCTCACAGCACATGCCACACATATGCTTTTTTTGCTTTTTTTCTTATACTATGTGCACATCCCTACAAAATAATGGGGGTAATGAAAGAGACAAAGACAAAAATACAAAGACAACAAAGGACTAGTAGGTGCTGCAAGAGCTGTGCTTGTCAGGCGCAGTGCACCTCACCAGCACAGCTCTTGCAGCACCTACTACTCCTGCTGATGGCACCTGGGCCTCTCACGGCATAGAGAGCATGCATATGCAGACAGTGCAGACAGTGCGGCATAGCTGCCCTTTTGCTGCAAGTACGTCGTACGTGGTGAGCGCTGGACATTCACACATGAACCCTTATGTAGCATGCATGTACAGCGAGTGTACTACATTATAGGATACTTGATAACAGCAAAACGAGTAGGGATTATAGAGGTGACGACTCTACTACTAACGATAAAGTTGAGAGTAATCTGTATGAGTATTATGCTCCCTAGCGTCAGCAATGTCGTCAGGTTGAGCACTCTTACCTTAGCGCGAACCCTTGCCGCTCGCCTTGTGCAACGCTCACTGCTCTTGGAGCATTTCGAGCACTCTTGGCGGGGTTTGCAGCTCTTTATAAAAATGCTTTGCTTTACGGAAACGTATTTCATTGCGAAGAGCTGCGCTTCGGTCCTCTGAGCTGTGCTGATGAGCTCTAACAGAGCGAAACAGTTGCTGTCCACAGACTTGAGTATTATGCTCCCTAGCGTCAGCAATGTCGTCAGGTTGAGCACTCTTACCTTAGCGCGAACCCGTGCCGCTCGCCTTGTGCAACGCTCACTGCTCTCGGAGCATTTCGAGCACTCTTGGCGGGGTTTGCAGCTCTTTATAAAAATGCTTTGCTTTACGGAAACGTATTTCATTGCGAAGAGCTGCGCTTCGGTCCTCTGAGCTGTGCTGATGAGCTCTAACAGAGCGAAACAGTTGCTGTCCACAGACTTGAGTAATCTGTATAATCGTTATATTATAGTATGTGCTCTTGGCATCAATGTAGACAACAGCTTACCTCTTAGACTGCTCATGTGCGTGACTTGCACTAGTGAGCGAGGCGCTCACTTGCTGCTCAGAACTCTCCCTTTCATCTTCTTTATCATCTTCTGCAGGGCTCATGTTGATCAGAACGCTCATGTAGCTGACAAGCTGTTAGACAAAATTGCACATACGCGTGTACACACGCATAGAACATGCATACATGCACACACGCATATGCACACATGAGCCCGAACATGCATATACACAAACACACACACACATACACACACACACACACACACACACACATACACACACACACACACACAGATACTCGGAGACGTGCATGGATACATAATAATGGGATTAGTGTCTGTCTACCAAAAATGTTTCGTCTTTAGTGGGCTCATCAGTACAGCACAGAGAAAATGGACCGAACTCGATAGTAATGAAAGAAATATTTTCCAATGCCAGATCTAAACCAGGCCTGAATGTACCTTGCCAGAGTGCTCAACACAAAAAAAAACATAAGTAGAGTGGATCAGTCTCTATGTAGCTGAGTAGTTGTCTGTGTAGCATTTCTCTGGCAAAATATTGATTTTAACAATTTGCAAAGAACACAAAGAAAGCAGGAGAGAGAGAGAGAGAGAGAGAGAGAGAGAGAGAGAGAGAGAGACAGACAAACAGACAGACAGGCGGACAGACAGACAAGGGGAGAGTAAGGGAGAGAGAAATGAAGACAAGTCGAAAAGGAGAACACAGGAGGTGAATAGAACAAAGCACAACAAACTGAAATACATGACTTGCATACCAGCTGTGGCTTTGTCTTCTCTTCATCCGGATAGACGACTAGCGTTCTCTTGTACACACGTTTTCTGTACCACAGTGGTACTCTGCACTCTATTGTACTGATCATATGAACCTGATTCACACCGCGGGCGCACACACAGTGATATACACAGCACGTGCATAAGCGCATACACACACATACATACAGACACACACACACATTCACACCCACCCACACATACACACACATACATGCACGCACACGCGCACAGACACACACATACACACATACACACATATACACATATACACACACACGCGCACACACAAAGTACACAAGTGTAAAGACATGTGTCACACACCCGTCCACCCAATGTGGATCCTAGACTCTAGTGCCACCATCTATACGTTTCCCGGTGTCTTCTTTTATCCAACCTGTATTTCAGGATTTTCTGTCCACATGTCCAACAGACCTGGTCAGCTTCATATGTATCTATTGTCATCTATTGTCCATATTACCTGTGCGAGCAGCTTTTGACGGTCACAAGACATCGCCAAACATAAATGTCACGCTTTACGCGCAGCCCCCCCCCCCCCCCCCCCCCGCGCTGAGTCTTACATACCCCACGCGGTGGACAACACACCTCCTCGTCTGCCCCTTACGGGGCCAAATAGCCAGTCATGGCAGTGCAAGGAGGAAGAAGTAAAGGAGTGTTCATATTTTCTCTACCTCTCACCTGCATTGCGAGGCGCTTGAAGTGGGCACTTTTCTTGATCTGCTCAATGTCATCCACAGCCAGCCCAATGAGCAGATTCATCAGCACCACGGCTACCAGTAAGATGTAGATGATGTAAGCAGCATAGGAGATACCCTGGTACGATATCTTTTCCCTGTCCGTAATGAAGATCTGAACAAACTCCACTTCGCCCAGCATCATCACGCCCATCTGGAGTATACTGGTGCCCACTGTAGTGAAGTTGTCCTGAAACAAACACAAAACACATGCGCACACACACACACACACACGTACACACACACACACACACACACACACACACACACACACACACACGGACAAACCATGTACACGCATACACACACACACACACACATACAGAAATGTGTGATGCTCACACGCATATACACAGAGCACCACACACAGAAAGCATGTTCACGTCCAACCATATCAAAGCAAGATAATTATACAACATGAAGGTGGTATTGAGTTGGTGCCCCCACCTACCCCCCCCCCGCACACAGTTGCACCATGACCTCAGCCTCTTCCTCCCCCCCCCCCCCTCCCTCTCCCCCAGGACTTATATTCAAACATTGGAGCACCAATCATACCTAGAGTTGCAGGTGGGTGGCATGTGGCATGTCTATGTTATGACATGAGCAGTCACAGAGGCTGTGCGCCTTAACCAGCAATAGTGCTCAAATGCCCGGAATGGGCAGAGCGTAGTACGCAGAGGTACACAAAAGGAAGTAAAACAGCCCTATTTACTTCCCTTGTGTACCTCTTGTGTAACAGGAGCAGTCAAATAATGACAACACTGCTCATACCCGCATACAAATTACTTACATGTCCTGAGAACAGAATGTAGAAACAGAGCGCGAAGGCTATCAGAACTATGGAGTATACCAAGAACACCTGCAATACAACATGACATGACGGTAACAGCAGCAGCAGCAGCCACAACCAACAACAACAACAGCAACAGCAACAATGACATTGATGACGACGACGACCACCACCACAACAGCAACAACAGCAGCAGCAGCAGTACGAGTCAGTCAAAAAGGCAACAGGATGCCCATTGATACAATCATTCCAATTATGGTAAAGAAGTAGGATCATGCACACAATCAAGGCAAGATAAAGGGTGTGGGTAGCTATGGTAAACGTGGAGGAGACACACATGTGCAGCTATACAGGCCAGCGGAATCTAAGGTAGATTACGGGAATACAGATTGGGAGACAGGGAGATGAGGGGAGCTATGACCTATGGCCACGAGATCACTAGACTGTATGGCGTATGTACAGGGAATGAGAAACAGGAAACTGCATGACTGTACTGCTCAGTCTTGTATAAAAGCCAAACTTGAATCGATGCCGTCCTCAAATACTTCCTCCGTTAACAAAAAACTTCGTGATGGAATTTTGAGGGGCTGATTCGGGCACAAACTGCCGTGAAATGAGTCGCAATCACTTTCTTGGCCTTCCCTGGCATGCCATGACAGAGGTACGATGCAAGGAAAGCGACCTTTCAAAACAAGCAGAGCGGAATCGATGGTTGCGCTGTGGAAACATAGGTGATGACAGTCATGGCGAGCGAAACTGAAATACCACTTCTCCGAGGGGATATTGCGCTGCTTGGCCTCTCTACCACTTTAGCACTGAGTACGTTGGAGAGTGATAGAGAGCGATAAAACGGAGCAGCGAGCCCACTCAATGAGCGAGTGAACAAGGAGCTGCTCCGATCGCAAAGCTCAATGAAAATATTTCTGAACTCAAGTTCTTGTTCAACCTGCGCAAAGCCCAGATTCAAATGCTAATGACCTTGCATTCTTTCAGAAGTGTGCAGTCCGATGCGAGTCTCGTGGCTAAAGAAAGTCGACTGGACTTGCTAGCCGCTGCCGTTCAGTGCTGGTATCCATTAGAGAAAATGGAATCATATTGGCTGTGCCTTTACTCCTCGTTTCGCGGAGTTCTGGAGAGCGAAGATGAAACCAGGGAGTCGTAAAATATTTTTCACGACTCCCTGGTGGAAACGAGTAATCGCCATCGCGGCGGATCACGCAGCTTGAAAGCAAACTTACTTGAACGACGGCGACATCAAGCGGAGTGTGATCAAAGAAGCCGAGGCAAGGCTGAAACGAGCTGAACAACGACTCGAGAGAGATGACTTGCGTACAGCAGATGACGACTCGCGTGCAGCAGATGTCGACAGCGACGCAGGTCAAAAATGAATCGAGCGAAAGCGACGCAAACTGAACTCTGCTCATTCCGCCAACAGTTTCTCTTGTAAATACGCTGTACATAGGCTGAAACACCTTCCTCCAGTGATTTGCAGTCAATACAAACTGTTCTTGACCTGTTCTAAGCGTTTTCATATCCATCAAAATCCATCACGAAGTTTTTGTTAACGGAGGAAGTAGAACCAACACTTTTGGAACCAGTATATTGCACACAGGCCACCCTTGAATACCGTAGTGTCTTGCATAAAAGCCTGTCTCATGTAGAATCCTGTTTCGAGTACAAGCCTGATTTTTCGAGATGCATTGTCGGCACATAAGCTTGGTTTAGTGTTGACATACATAGAAATACCTGTCTTGTACAGAAACATGTCTCATATAGAAACCTGCAAAATTCCCACCAAAAGTCATAATTATAAGCCACAGCTTTTATACATGACTTAACAGTAGTAGCTGCATGTCACAAAAATAGCACACACACGGCACTACACTCACTCCTCGATCCTACAGGCTTTCCTATATCCACTGTTTGTAGTCAAACTGTCACATGTAGACACCGAAACGTATCATGCAAATCAAACAATCTACGATTTTTGCCTATCATGGTCGAATCGATAGAGATGTGTGCACATTGGGGGGTTATGTAGACCTGCTGTGCCTGAGAGGCGAATGTCGAGGACAATACGGTATACACTGCACATGGTGTGTATCGGGCAATCACAGCAGGTGAGTAGATCTTTACCATATGAGCAGGCATTCATTAGGGGACATTTAGATGGGCGTGGAAAGTTGCATGTTCGGATAAATTTCCTTAGTTTCATAGGTCATGTTACGTTTCAGTTCGGGAAACATTTTCCAGTGCAGCCTTTCCCGCTGGGAAAGGTTTCCTGGGCCTGAAAGCCATTTGGAAAAATTATATTTCATTGCTATCAGGTTCGACATCATTTTCTCTGTGCTGCGCTGACGGGTCCACAAAGAACGAAACAGTCTCGTCCGCAGATTGTTTGAACGCAGGAATAGTGTAATGGTGTAGACATCTTAAAGCCAGCGTGTGCAATGCAAGAACATTCCAAATATGCACAACATTTGCACGCACATGCTGGCTGTACACGCACCTTGATGAAGGTCTTGATAACGGACCAGAACATCACAACATATATGCCAACTTCATTGAACCTAATATACACACAAACATAAACACACACACACACACACACACACACACAAACAAACACAGAAGGCAAATGCTGTAGCTGTGTTTCTGAGCTTCATGCATAAGGTTACCATCAGAGAGCACTGCATGTACACATGCAGCCAGGAATATTGATAATTGTACTCGTACTGGTTCACTATGGGTCTGCCCGGCATAGGAAAGAAAGATACAAAAGAAATGTTGGAAAATGACTCAACTCAGTTGGGTATTGAACAGCTCAAAGGCCGACACCTCTTGACGTCACAAAACTCTGGGTGGACTTTTATATTATCCCTCTTATGGGCTCACCACACCGCAGTAAGTACATGAGGACAATATGTAGAAAAGGGATTGACGGCATCGAAGTACCAAAATCCATCCCGGGATCCTGCCGCATGTATCCCCCCCCCCCCCCCCCCGCACACACACGCACAGCCAAACATGCCCCCTCCCATGGTTCCTCCCAAACACACAAATTATGACAAGTGATGCTCTACAGACTGGTGGGAATATCGGGGAGGGGCAGGGCTACGAGATGCCCATCTCCTACATCTCTGACCACTGGGACGCATAATCTAACCTGACCAATACCATATTATAATAACTTCACATGAATACACACAGCACACTAGAACCTGATATACATCCGTACCTCTGTACGTATGTGAGTAGATTGAACCAGGCGACACACAGGGCTATGGCACCACATCTCCACTGAATGTCATTTGGCTGATGGCCATACAGCCCTGGCCACACAAACACCAGTGAAAGACTATACACACACCAGTCTAGGATTGTCTCAGGCTGGAAGTAGTCCAGTCTCTGAAACAATAATTATTATACACATAGAACACACAACAGCAAATAAAGGGATTAGGATGAAGCAGAGAAACGGGTGAGCTATCACAAAAATACACGCCAAACTTATGAATAATGCATACAGTTATGTCAAAACTTCATTATATACTCCTACGGGTAAGTCAACAAATATTCGGCACATCTCTATTTTTCGGCTATTTCGGCCTGGTCATGTTTGACTGAAAGTTTGTTGCGGCCGAAATTTTGTTTTGCAATGTTCCGTGTGACAGTGTATACAGGCGGTAGCAGGACAGGCCGAAAATGTGATGCCGCCGATATGGGTTTTAGCCCTGGAAGGCCGAAATGTGAATGGGCCGAAAATTTGTCGACTTACTGTACCTCGGTTATCCGGACTCCGGGAAGTTATGGGCACTTCGGTCTACCGGGCACCCTGTGGGCGAGTTCCAGTGGAAATAGTACTCCTCATTTGCCACTTTTTGTGGAAATATTGATAATTTGATATCATATGCCAGTTAGTACCCACAAGAGTGCACGGTGCTCAAAGCCAGCAGAACATGCCGTGCTCAAAGCCTGAGTGTACGAGTATTGGGAGCTCAAAAAGAAGAGCATGCCATGCTCATATGCTTACAAGTGTGATGATGTAGATCAGTTCTTTGATGATGTGAATGACTGCAAACACTATCACGAAAACTTGGCCAACTAGAGCTTGAGTTGGTGGATTCTGTGATTGGAGATGAACGATAGCACACAGCATGCAGAGCACATACAGCACACAGCACAGACCACACATCACACAGCACATACAGCAAGCCAAGCATACAGAGTGCATATAGCACACAGAGTACACAAAGGGTATCCAGTTGACGTAGCTAGAAACACTGGGAGGCGGGCACACATGCTCGTATGCGAATGTGCAACTAGAAAGCCCCCTCCCCTTCATGCATACATGTATGTGTGCAGGTGGGAAACCTCATCCTCTCTATGCACATGTGCCGTTAAAAAAGCCCCTCCCTTGATCGTTGCGTGTAGAAAGCCTGCTCACCTCTATGAGAATTTGCCGATAGGAAGACCGCTTCCAGAAGAGAGAGAGAGAGAGAGGGGGGGAGAGAGAGAGAGAGAGAGAGAGGAGAGAGAGCAAATTGAGTATTGCTAATTGTTTACATTCTTACCTTGAGTTCAAACGGTGAGTCACATAGCTCACTGCTATTTCCTATAGGCTGATCACTATAGATGACACCAAGCTGCTGTGCATTCAACTGACATGTACTGTTATAGGCATGGTGTGAACAGGTAGATCCCTGACCAACGTGTCCTTCTTCATATGCCATGTAACTGAGGGAACACACAAACACACACACAAACACACACACACATGCATACACACACGCACGCGCACGCACGCGCACGCACACACACGCACGCGCGCACACACAAACACGCACACACACACACAAACACACACAAACACACACACACACACACACACATACACACACACACATGCATACAACATTTGCATAACATGTACAGGGGTGGAACACAGTGCAGCAGACAGGAAGGCTAGTGAGAAAAGTACAAACCCCATGCACATTGATAGAAGATAACACAGTGGCTCATACTACTGGACTTAGTCCAGCAATCTATGTGACCTGTGTCATGATCACATGTGTATGAGAAAGCAGTGGGATTATACACACAATCATGCCACACACACACAGCAGCCGTATTCCTGAGCAGAAAGACAATGCACAGGTGCATACCTGAGTGAGCTGGTTACACCAGTCATAGTAGTGCTAGTGGCAGTGCTAGCAGATGTACTTGACACAACAGGACAGGCCAGGAGAAAGGAGACATTGCCCGAAGGACAAGCACGACTATGATTGGCATACGGGCTGAAGACGGTCAAATCTTCGCCACGTCTGTTGGATCTGCACGTGACGAGGTGCGAGAATAGTGTTCCGTTGCATGGACGTATGCCATAGGCAAGGCTAGTGTTGAGCAAATGACCAGATGTGTACACAAAGTCAACCAGACCTGCAGGCAAGAAATTGACACATGGCAGAACACCCACACCCACATGCACATGCACACATACACACAAACACACACACACACACACACACACACACACACACACACACACATGCACGCACGCACGCACACACACAAACACATGTGACGAGGTACAAATAACAGGTATAAATACCTCAAGCACAGTGACAGTATTACTTGAACAGTCCGGCGCTGCTTGGTCCAAGCAACATCTATTCTATGGTTTCTGTTTAGGGCAGTTTAAAAATAGAAAAGGTGCGCAGGGAAGACTCGCATAAACATTTCTCTGTATTTCTTGGTATTATAGAAAGGTGATCGCAGACCAAAAGTGCAACAGTGTTGTCAAAAGCAGTATATTAGAGTTGCCAGCCTGATACCGGCTCAGCACTTCCGCACCCCTGGAAAATACAGCATCAATAACTAGAGTGGTGAGCTCTTACAATAACAGCCATGAAAATAAGTAGGGTGCTCCGTTGCATAGCTGAAAAGTGTTCAATACCCTAAGTAGCCATACCCGCAGGTAGAGTATTGTCACACAGTAAGGAGAGGGTCAGTTCTGTAAGTTTCTTGACGACCATCAGGCAGGTTTCGCATTGAAAAGTTAAAGGTAAACTTAGGTTTCAACAGAATTTCTCCTCTTCTCACTGTGTGCTGTGACAGGCCCTCGACTAGGATGGAGGAGTTACTTTTGCCCCGCCCCCACTTCCATCCAATATGCCACCGCCCCCCGCTGTGCAGCATCTGATGGTACTGTGGTATTCAGTAAAAAAAAAAAAATAAAAAAAAAAGTGGCCTGGGACAGAGAGTGACCAGGCCACAGCAGGAAGGTGATTCTCACTACGTACTAATGCATGCATTTAGACTTACCATAGACAGTGTTACAAGTAACCTGCGTGACCGGATGATAACGCGCTGTTCTCTCTTTATCAAATGCCTCGTTCTTGGTTCTGGCAGCCGATTGTGTGTTTGGTAGATCAGTTGATAGCGCATACACCGACAGGGCAACCAGGAATGCGATATACACCAGCAGATTGAGAACGAACAGCACCTTGCAGAACGAGTCCCTGCACCCACACCCACACACACACCCACACACCAACATACATACACAGACATGCACACACACACACACATGCACACACACACACACACACACACACACACACACACACACACACACACACACACGCACGCACGTACGCACACAACGGGGACCACATCGTCAAAGTGAGCAGCAATAGATGGACACACGGCACTTTACGCATGTTACCAGTGGTCAATCAGTGCAATCACATACAGAAGCAGTCGCGGGTACAGCGCTACAACTGACCTACAACTGCAGGTCTTCATGGCAACCAGAAAAAAAACCCTGTTGCATGGTAGTTTGACAGCAAGCATGTGGATAGACTGTGAACAGAATCTCAATAGAAGCTGCCAGCAACAACAAAGGCAGTAGGCAGATCAGTACAATCTTCAGAAAATATATGTACACCCAAACCACTATCTGGATGACAGGAACTCTCTCTCTCTCCCCACCCCCCCCCCCCCCCCCCTTCACACACTCATCGTTACACACACACACACACACACACACACACACACACACACACACACACACACACACACACACACACACACACACACACACACACACACACACACACACACACACACACACAGCACTACTGTACTTGCTCACTGCCAAAATTGATCACCTGGGTCTCTCCGGGAGAGGGGAGGGAGACTCAAAAAGAATCTTAGAAAGATGACTATTCTCTATTGAACCACCCAACGACCTGAAATCCCCAGACTCTGGGTGTACTTGGTTATGATTCCATGGACGCATATACGGATACACACATCAGCTCAAACGCACGTGCATGCGTAAGTAGGTACAAGCACAGCAGTCGAAAACAGTGGCTACAAAGAAGCTCTCCACTCACCATTTACTCTGCAGCAAGGCCTGCGAAAGAGGATGTGCAAGCAACTTCTCTCTTTCATTTTCCACCATGACCTACGGGCGGGATGCAGACAGACAACAAGCATCATATCTCTAGTAGTAGTAGTAGTAGTAGTAGTAGTAGTAGTAGTAGTAGTAGTAGTAGTAGTAGTAGGTTCTTTTTTCGACCATACAAGACGAGACAACGCTTGCAAGCACCAACACCCCACAACAGCAAGTAGTTACTGCTGACAAGCTTGTTTCGTTTCGTAAGATAGTGGGAGCTCATCAGACGACCGAATCAAAAATCGATCGAATCGATCATATCGACGAAACAAATGAAGATGGCATCATCGAATCATCACATCTCTAATCAATAAAGCATGTCATCCGATACTGGGCAGCAGGACACACTCAGCGAGCAAAGCCCATCTTACCCCACACCTGGCAGCGTTGATATCACAGGCCAGGGAATTACAACAACAACAACACAAAAAATACAGAAGACGGAAGTCAGAAGAGCACGATTCAAGATTTACCTCCATAGCCTGAAACGGCTCCATGGAAATGCTCAACGGCAGACCTTCAAATTCACTGGGATCCTCGCTGACATAGCGGAAATCATACACTTTCTACAGCAGTCAAACAGACATCCAACACACAGGTTATCATACACTTTCTGTAGCAATCAAACAGACATCCAACATACAGGTTATCATACACTTTCTGTAGCAATCAAACAGACATCCAACACACAGGTTATCATACACTTTCTGTAGCAATCAAACAGACATCCAACACACAGGTTATCATACACTTTCTGTAGCAATCAAACAGACATCCAACACACAGGTTATCATACACTTTCTGTAGCAATCAAACAGACATCCAACACACAGGTTATCATACACTTTCTGTAGCAATCAAACAGACATCCAACACACAGGTTATCATACACTTTCTGTAGCAATCAAACAGACATCCAACACACAGGTTATCATACACTTTCTGTAGCAATCAAACAGACATCCAACACACAGGTTATCATACACTTTCTGTAGCAATCAAACAGACATCCAACATACAGGTTATCATACACTTTCTGTAGCAATCAAACAGACATCCAACACACAGGTTATCATACACTTTCTGTAGCAATCAAACACACATCCAACACACAGGTTATCATACACTTTCTGTAGCAATCAAACAGACATCCAACACACAGGTTATCATACACTTTCTACAGCAATCAAACAGACATCCAACACACAGGTTATCATACACTTTCCACAGCAATCAAACAGATATCCAACACACAGGTTCTGTTAATAATGGCGGCAAATTGAATTGCAAACGAGATGTTGCAACTTTGGCGGTATTATTGGAGAATAAGGTGGTTGTTCCAAATGTTGGATAGATTAGATTATAGATCATTGAGCAGAGATGGCAATAGTTTGTGTAATTCTCCACTAATTTCTGTCGAGAGAGGTCTCTCAATGGATCCTGAGGCTCATCACCGTCACTAGGTAAAGCACCTTGAAGCAAAGGAAAGCTAACAACTCTTGCAGGGGAAGCGGTCACACTGGACAATATAATTAATGATGTTATGGTGAACTAGCAGACCCACTTACGGGCGCTAATTTACGGGATGAGCTGGAGGTTGTGCAGTAGAGCATCGCTATGCTACGACTTTGCCAAAGCATCTCAACTGACTATGTTATTGCATAACCTCTATAGGCTACCTTCACCATAAATTTAAACTTTCAAATCATTGAGGTGCTCCACATTCTCCACATACCTTAGTATGTAAAGCTAATCCTTATGATGGGTGACATCCAAATTGTTGGAAAGGATAAATGAACTGGGTGTGTATTCTGGTGCAAAGCTCAGACATGCGTTGTTTAATCTCATTCGAATTTAGAATGCAGGTCCTCCCTCATTATAACGAGTCCGGTTAGTACATAAACCCCGTTAGTAAATAGAAATCTGAAATCCCCTGGCGAAACGTGGTCTATACAACTGTTTACAGGTCCGGTTACAACATAATCCGTTAGTACATAAAATTCGTTATAACGACCCTTTGCCCAGGTCCCCGGAGTGCCAAACCCTCAGTATAAGATAATACTGACCATGCAGGACCAAGGCCAAAACAGGTAGGATAAAGCAGAAGGACCAAACGTAATTATATCTATGTATTCGCGAATATGGACGATCCTTTTCATCCAAGGAAGAGTTATGTTGAAGATTTTCAATTATCTTATAACGAGTTGAAGCATTGATAATTTATGTTGTATCGAGGGTAGCCCCAGTAAGTACGAAGTAGTGCCTATTTCACCTTTAGCTGCAAGTCCTGCTACAAGATAAGTCTCGTTATAAGACACTTTTTCGATGGGCCAGAGATTATCTACTAACGAGGGAGAACCTGTACCAAGAAACCTCCTGAGCTCTCATAAAAAAGTTGCCGGACTTTGAATAATAGAGGGCTTGAGAGAAATGTGACTTTGCCAGCTGAACAGAGTATAATTTTAGTAGTGGACAAATCCACCTGTCTCTCTCTCTCTCTCTCTCTCTCTCTCTCTCTCTCTCTCTCTCTCTCTCTCTCTCTCTCTCTCTCTCTCTCTCTCTCTCTCTCTCTTTCCAGAGTAGATCTAGACTTACCTTCACACCGCCCTTGTGCTCCGGTGCTGGTGTCGTCTCAACACTGCGATCCAGAACGAACTGCATAATACAAATACGGGGTACAGGCGGAGAATATCAGCCTACCTGATCGTATATGTGCAATGGGAAACAAACTTTATACACTTGCCGAGATCTTGATCGACTGCATTGCGGAAACATCAGGAAAACTGTCAATGATACAAGAAGTGTGAAATGCAGCAATGGTCTGTAAAATCTAGCACTTCCTGTGCCCAAGAAGTGCGCCTCAAATTTCTTGACGGGTGTGTGAACTACAAGTGAAGCTGGCCAACTGCTGGAAGTCAATCGCAGCTTGATGCAGGGTGGATTTTATCAGCCTGTACTGCATAACAGTGAGAAATACAACAGGAGCATGCACGAGCTGAAACTGGCGGATAGTGATACTCGTAGAAACTAGATGATGTAGTTGCTATTGTTCTTTTGTGCTTCAATTCAAATTCACATCTTCAGCCGGAAAGCCACATGTACATGCAAGAACCTACACCCAAGCCTCCCACTGCATTGCAATAGTAAAAAAACAAAAACAAAAAAACAATCTCTTACTCAGTGTCTGCTCTAGGATTTCAAACCAACCGGGTACATGTGTACCTGGCACAACTCTTGCAACCGGGTCAGTCCCGGGTACATTCAAGTGCGGCTATTGTACATCAAGGAATCTTAGGACGCCCTGATTGAGTCCTAACCGGGTCACATGTGACCCGGTGTACTTTTTCCAAGCGGGTCCCAGTACTCCCCAACCGGGTTGCTCACCCGGCTGACCCGGTTCTTGAGCAGACACTGCTCCTGTGCAAAAACAACTTGGACAAAGCTGTGGACAGAAGCATACATTGAGCCACCAATGTTGCTGCTATCAGTACCAGCTCTAACCTGGGCAACTTTAGGCATCTTCTCCACCAATCGCTTCATCGGCGTATTGCCATCAAACTCACGACTATCCATGATCTCATGCCACCTACAAGACACACACATGAATGCATGCAGACACACATGCATGAAAACACACGCACACACATACCATGCACCCGTACACACGAACGCATACGCACGTGCACAAGTGTCAATACACACACAATTTTACTTGCTTGTACTTGTTCCCTCCAAGAAACTGGTCCCACAGGTCTCAAAGGAGAGGGGAGAGAAATTCAACGGGAATATTGAAAAGTTAACTTGATCAGTTGTTGAACCGGCCAACTGCCGACACCTCCCGAAAACCTTAGACTCTGGTTGGACTTGGAAATGATCGTACTAATGGGCACCACACACATCAGCAAGAGGAGCAGGGCAAGATGCGGAAAAAAGATTGACGGCATCAACATACCGGTTACCATCTCAGGATATGACTGCATTTTACCCCTGTCCCCAGTGAAGGTAATATTTGACACTTGTGTGGGTGGCTGTGTCAAAGTGAATCTAATAATTATAGGAATCCAGACTTACACAAGAGTTTATCTACCCAGGGGAGCTCATCTTGTCAACAAAATCTGATATGTTTGCTACGATAAAAGTATATGGACACTAAAACCAACAACGGTGTATTTAAAGATACCGTATTACACTTTCAACTAGCTGAGCCTGATGAGATGGCAACAGACTCAATGAATATATCTTGCTTTTAAAGGTTCACACACCACTCGAGCTACTACACTGCTGCTCAATGAAAACCATTTGAGTCCTGCCCCGTATACATCCCGTGTTCGCAGGTATAGGGCTGCACTGTGCCTGGCGTGACATTGACTCTCTCAATTGGATTTCATTGAGCAGCACTGAAGAAGCTGGCACACACACACACACACACACACACACACACACACACACACACACACACACACACACACACAACCGGCCACATGATGTACTGGTGCCAGCTTATCGGGCTCAGGATTTACTTGCGTTGTACAACGGGGCACTCGAAGTCCTTAGTCTGCTCACACACTTGACACTAAGGCTTCTGATATGAGAGACCCACGCACATCCAAACGACGGCGACGGGGTATCTTCTAGAATTCGCACTGTTCACGATATCAGACGGTGAAATGCATGAGTTGACAAAGTGTTGGTACACCAGAGGAATTATGGTGGTTTGTTAGTTTTGGATTTATTTCAGTTTGTTGTCTCAACAGTACAATTTACAACTTCAAAGGGTCGAACAGGTAACAAAATAACGGAGGATCATCAGAAAGGGAGTCAGAGAGAAGGTCATCTGTGACTTGCATACCTGTCATGTCGAAGCAGTGCCATGGCAACCTCTGCTTTCTCATAGTGTATAGCTATGTCCAGGCTGGTCATGCCGTTGTTGTTTACATGTGACAGGTCTGCACCATGTGATAGAAGTCGCTCAACAGCTGCCACATGACCTGCACCACTAGCCAGGATTAGTGCACTGTTCTGTAGGGGGAGTCCCCAGAGGAATACAGCAAAAGAACAGCACAAGCATTAGAGCATGATTTGAGGCACGTTATCATGCCCGCCTACTCATGCGCACACACACACACACACACACACACACACACACACACACACACACACACACACACACACACACACGCACACATATCATACTTCTAACAAGTGCAGATTGTACAAGAAAGACTTTTGTACTGGCATGTATGCACAGTGAATATTAGCAAACACCGACACACTCAATGATTGTAACCAGAAATCTTGTGGGTGGCTACAGGTGCAGGATTTCCTATAGTTAATGTTGTATATCAGCTGTACCTTGTAATTGTCGAGCATGTTGAGAGGTGCCCCGTGGTCCAGTAGATGTGAGATAGACTGCTCACATCCCTGCCTTGATGCATGACATAGCGCTGTCCAACGACCACAGTCCCTAAACGATCACATACAATATCAGAATGCATTGGGAAGAGAGAGAGAGAGGACAAGTGTCAACGTGACACAGATGTAATGCAATCAACCGAATGTATAATTTTTCTTCAGACTTTTCTCTTTCGCATCTTTACCTCAAACCTGTGAATATAGCATTACCACTACAAGTGGAAAAGCTACACGTACGCCCAGTGACTCTAAAGTACCTTTATATATGATGAACAAAGGAGGTTTCTTCAAAGCAAGACAAATACTGATTTGAACAGCAGGAAAGTGGGGCGCAGGATGTGCATGCGCATATGTTGAGTTTGGTAGTATGGGCTGCATGCAGGCCAGCATGGAAAAGGTTGTAGAACGAGCGGTAGGAGGTACCTAACACATAAAATTATTTTTTAGCATGGCATCACAATCAGAGAATTCATGATCATATGCATGAGAGGTATATGTAGATGTTCCCAAGTTCGTTAACAGGGCCTAGCGCCTAGCGCACACGGTAAACCACCATTGGAATCCACAAGTTTGAGGAAGTTGAAACTGAAGACATTAGAATTTTCAGGAAATCTGGTGTTTCCAAAAAATGACGGACACCATTGCCGTGTTTGCCGACTTTATGGACGATCGGATCCCTGCTGTGATCCGAGCAGAAGGTGGAAACACCAAGTACCGAACTTTGGAGAAGAAAACCAATCCAAACAAAACTCTGTTTTCCGTTGCTTGCTGAGTGTATATCCTATTTCAGGTAGTCATACCCAAACCGTTTGGGTATGACTACCTGGTACCAGTACATGCTCGATCCAGTACAGCTACAGTTCAGCAGGATATCAGGGCGAGATAGGTCATGCATTGAGAAAGGGACACGTCTCGCACTGCGCTGAGTTGCATGATATTCCCACACTTCTGTCACAGCCATGCCCACGGTGTGCGTGCAACGTACCATAATGGCCTATCCGAGCGCTGCACGAGCCATGGCGCTGCTTTCGGCTCACAGGTCGGATATATTCGGCCACGACTGTACCTTGTACATATACATGTATGTATCGCACAGTAGAGCTCCCCCCCCCCCCCCCCCCCACACACACACCTTTGACCTTATGACGCCCATTGCCGAAGGCGATGCTACAGCAGAAGCCATAGCAACTTGTGCTGGGATTGCACCAGTCAACAGCTTGCAAGGCTGTTGAATTGACCACCACACTTCAGCCTGATGTACACGACACAGCTACCATCCCCCCCCCCCCCTCACACACACACACACACACACACACACACACACACACACACACACACACACACACACACACACAAACACACACACGCGCGTACACGCACGCACACACGCACACACATACACACACATACGCACACACACACACACACACATACACACACACATACACACACACACACGCACATACACACACACACACACACATACACACACACACACACACACACATACACACACACACACATACACACACACACACATACACACACACACACACACACACACACACATACACACACACATACACACACACATACACTACTAGTGTGGACCAGGGAGTCGTACTCAAACTAGGGAGGTGACACGGCACAGAAATCCGTGTCACAGGGGTTGACTCGCACCCGTGACCCCTCGTTGTTATTTTTGGAATAGTTCAGTCCAGTCCAGTCCGAAAGGTCATACTCGGATCGACTCGCCTTCTGTACTTCACCTCCAAGCGTGCAACGCAAGACCCGCAAAGTATGATTTTTCTGTGGCGAACGATTTTGCCATTGATCAAGTTTTTATTGGAGTGCACAGGCATACTACGATTGCTGAGACGTCCCGAGCACGCTTGTTCAGGTTCTCTATTTTTGACGAGCCGGTCCTACAGCCCCCTACATTGTATCTAACGACGTAGGAGCTGACAATGTAAGAGGATTTCCCTGGAAATAATGATGATGGTGGTGTGACTGCTGCAGGAAAAATGCTGGCTGTTTATGACAGTATGACTAGATGTACAATGTAGCTCTCTTGTATGGTACTTAACCCCTGCTATAAATGTGTTGTTTAGGAAGACTGGTGTATTGTGCAAGTCATAAAGAAGAAATGGGGCAGATACACGACTTACATTTTTCAAAAACCAACAACGTGTTATGTGTAATTTGTGTCAAAATTGTAGTATTTAGACATGACAATATCATTGGCTGTACTTCTCTAATATGGTACATAACCCCTGCTATAAATGTGTGATTTAGGCAGACTGGACCATTGTGCAAGTCATAAAGAAGAAATGGGGCAGATACACGACTTACATTTTTCAAAACCTGGCTTTGTGTTACGTGTAATTTGTGTCAAAATTGACTTAAATTGTAGTATTTCAACATGACAATATCACTGGCTGTACTTCTCTTGTATGGTACTTAACCCCTGCTATAAATGTGTTGTTTAGGAAGACTGGTGTATTGTGCAAGTCATAAAGAAGAAATGGGGCAGATACACGACTGACAATTTTCAAAAACCAGCTTCGTGTTATGTGCAATTAATTAATATTTGGGTCAATTTTTAGTATTCGGATTAACCTAGGATACGACTCTGAACAGTTCTGAACAGTTACCGCAACACTACACGCCGTCTCATAACTGCTGCTGTTGCCATCACTGCTATCAAGTAGTTGGGACATGGCAGGAGCTAAACAAATTGCTGGTAGTCTTTCAAAGAATACTGGCGAGTGATGGGCTGTAAACGAAATGTGCTGCCTCAATAATTTCAAAAACTAGACACCCATGCGGCACGCTTGGAGGTGAAGTACAGAAGGCGAGTCGATCCGAGTATGACCTTTCGGACTGGACTGGACTGAACTATTCCAAAAATAACAACGAGGGGTCACGGGTGCGAGTCAACCCGTGTGACACGGATTTCTGTGCCGTGTCACCTCCCTAGTTTGAGTACGACTCCCTGGTGTGGACATTGAAATCCGATGAGAATCCAAGCGGACACAGGGCGCTGGCCATGCCATGAGCACGCAAACGATACGACTTGATTGCATGCCGGACACTGCTTGACCATTTTTGCACTGTGCACATGAATTGCAGTGTGTGTGTGCACTAAGAGTGCCGGCCCCGTCATACCACCGGACTTCAATGTCTGCAACAGTAGTATTGATCAGACAGTTTTCACCCTACGGCCAAACATTGTTAGTCAACCGATCACAGTTAGTCAGTTCTAACCTTGCAGCTACATCTGCACCAGCCTCTGCCAGCATGTTGACAATGTGGTGGTGTTTGTGAATAGCAGCTAGGTGTAGCGGAGTACGACCCTGGTCATCACTGGCGTTCACATAGGTGGGAGCCTTGGCTACAAGATACGTGCTTGCATCCATGTGTCCATTCCTGTACCAAATGTACAAAATGAGGAAAGTAAAGACATTTACGGTTTTCCTGTGTATTTCGAGAAGAGCCTCAAGGAAAACATTTTACTAGCTTGATATTGGGGTACAATGCACTCACGCAGAGTGGGAGTGTGTTGTTAGCATTGGAACAGATAATTCAATCCACGTTGTACCGCATCACTATATCCCCCCCACACACACACACAACCACCATATTGTGCATGCATACACACACAGAACTGTATTCATGCACACACGAGAGCTATACGCAGGCACCCACGCTCCCATGCATGCAAACACACGTGCACAATATAACATGCAGAAAATGTAATTCCTCTCCTTGCCCCAAGTCCCAGTTCTTCAAACACACAGTATGGAGTTCATCATAGCTAACCTTGCTGCCCAGTGGAGGGCCAGTCTCTCATGCTCGTCTTTCACTGTTAGATCCGCACCGTTGTTCACTAGGAGCTCACAGAGCTGCATTAAAAACAAAACAGGAATGCACAGTAGAGCGGCAATGCAAAAGCGGGTTGATGCACAAATTGCCAAGACAGACACTAGTGACCCACCCTACCACCACAGAATCACCTTTGGTTGCTCCATTTTTGTTGTTTGTTAAAAACAATAAGATGGTACGACCGACTGATGATGACTTACATTCTAACTTCTACGGCTGGTCAGGAGAGCAAACCATCCAAGAACGCCTAACTTTCGTGCACCAGACCCCAGAGGTGAAGATAGATCTGCACATGACCATGCCTATATACAGTACTGGCCAAAGAAATCCAACCTAATGAATTAATAGCATTGCCGGGTGCTAACCAGCCCTAGTACTACACATACTGGTCTGTGCACTCGAATGTGGCGCTACTTTATTCATGCTCTGGCCTGCACTTCAGTAGGTTGTGAATAGGGCGACGTATTGCTGGCTGGTACGTCCCTAACTGCCATTCCTGTCGATGTGGAGGATGTGTCTGTGACTTGGGGTGACTACTTGTGCCACAGCTGCGCATCGGTGGCGATCCAGGACCTGCTGTTGACTTCACACACAAAAGCCGGGACACTCTACTTGCAGCAGCCGCTGTCCACGGGGATAAAACTTGGGAACTGGTGAGTGCACACGGAGAGCAACCAAGAGGCTGGTATCATGCTAAATGTTACAGCAATTACACACACTGCAAGGCACTGGCACGCATTGCAAAAACCGGAGAGAGTATGAGGCAGCCAGTTCTGGTAGCACATTTCAGAGTGACGACGATGATGCTGGCACACCATGCACGACACGAGCAAGCCCACGAAAGACTAGGTCTGTGAGCGAGCTATCCGGCCAGTAGGCATGTTTGTTTTGCCTCAAAAGACTGAGGAGAAGACGGGGAAAGAGCGTGGAGTGGCTCAGTATGTGCGAAACATTCGAGGCAGGCGAGTACATCCTGACAGCGGCACAAGAGTGCACGGAGAGAGATCTACGAGAACGTGTATTGCTGACAGTGCAGAAGGGCGGCCCAGACTGCATCGCTGCCGAGGTGCAGTACCATTTCACGTGCTACCGGGATTTTATTCGCGTGAAGCCAACCGCTAAGACTGGCCCGAACCCTTCACCGTATAAGGCCGCGGTTAAAGATCTGGCCCAGGAGATTGAGGAACAGTTGGAAGACACCAACAAGATCTCTGCGCTCCCAATGGCTGACATCCGGAATAGATTTGTGCGGAAGCTGAAGGACATGGCTGTAGACTCTCCGGCGTACGGCACGGCCCACCTGAAGCAGTGCTTCAACAGCACTTTGGTGCACAGGTGCGATTTCTGCGGCTTCTACTAGGGCAATCAGCCTCGGAGCTCCTTGTCCGTGGATCCATTGAGCCTCAGCTGGTGTCAAAGTTTCTGGAGGGTAGTATCCGCCACACACGCCACCAGAGTCCTCCTGGATTCCGATGACGATGAGGAAAAAACTTGCGGCAGTGAGCATGATCCTGGTGTGCACAAATCAGCACCTGATGTGGCCACGGCCTATTACATTCATGTTGCACTGGAACTACACCAGGCGATCAAAGGTATGAAACCCATCCTCCCGACGCTGCCAACGGCATCCGATCTGTCTAGCGAAACAGCGGAAGCATGTGTCCCCACCACCCTGCATAACTTCTTGTGTTGGCTGATTGGCGGGCCCACCATGCAAGACAAGTTGGTTGGCCCGCATGATAGGATAGCTCTGCTGGAGCACCTGATGGCTAAGTTGTCTGCAGTTGCACAAGACATTTTGTACTGTACCAGCTCCGGATGCATAGTGCCCCCAAAGCACATTGCCCTAGGGGCCTATGGCTGTACGGCACTTGACACGGAGCAAACAGTTCATAACGTGCCTCAACCGTTTTGGCCATGGGGTATCGCATGCCAAGATATCGGAGCTGGAAACTGCCATAGCAGAGCAGACTCTAGCTCTGGAGAACAGTGGTGTACCAGCAGCCGTTGATCCGCGTGGCTGTCCAATCTTTTTCAGCTGGGACAACGATATATGCGAGGAGACTTTGTCTGGAATTGGAACAACGCACTGTACAAATGGAATAGTCCTCCAGAACCGTACCACTCCTCATATGCCGTACGCGCCGCCACAACAGAATAGTGAAGCAACCAGAACACGTCGCCAGCGGTCAATTGCAGCGCCGTAACCTGCTGAGCTAGAGTACATCGCTGGAGCTCGCAGCCAACTCCCCACATGTGTGCCCAGTGACGAGGCAACTGCCCCTATCGACACCACCTCTTGGCTATCTGATCTAGACCTGGCATGGTTCTTGTGCCGCAGCTCCTGTACCTGCTAGCTCGGAAACCAGTGACTCCAGCGGCTCAGATAGTTCGGACAGTGAAGTCAGTGAGTGCGTTCGATTACACACTTGAATCGATTCATGAATCGATTCAAGTGCATTCAAGTCGTTCGATTTTCATGTCATGAGCCCTGGAATCGATTCGGAATCCATTCACTCTATTCACATGGGGTGATGTGAATAGCGCGAATCAATTCGTGAATCGATTCGCGTGCATAATCGAACGCACTCAGTGCGAACTCCGGGCCTGAGTCTGATATGGAGTAATTATTTGTTATACTTGTTAATATTATGAAGGCAAGACAGTGGACAACGTCAGTACCGTTGGTCAGTGTGGTGCAATGTTATCGCCATGCATGAGCTGATTGTGAAGAGCTCTTGGGTCCTCTTTTCCTCTTATAAATTAATCCTTGGCTCTGCACCTGACTCTAAGGCCAGACAAGTTTCACAATATAGATAACTTGAGATGTCAAGCCTTGCCCTGTAGGAGCTTGTGGTGATGCATGTGTCTTCAAACTAAGAGTTACTTTGTTCAAACGATGCACAGTACTGACGTCCTACTGTCACATAATTACTGGTCTGGTATCATGCAAATAATTCTCCGGTGATCTAGTACAGCTACCGTGGTACTTCTTTGTATCAAAGACACGTACCTTAGGTGCTTCAACACACAACTCTCCACCCAATAGTTGAGTGGCATGAAATCGAATGTAGCGATGAGCAAAGTACTACTGGTGAAAAGAATCGCCTCGATGGAGACTGACAGTGCTACGTGACCTGCCTGCCACCATCAGGGTGAATAGGCATGTCGCAGTTTACACTAACAGGAAGCTCCCAAGACCGCCTGTCCTCCTCGAAGTGAGCAATATAAAATAATTCAAACACTTCAATTGACAATGTTATTTCATATGCTTCGGTTCGTCTTTCTCAATTTGAAAATTCACCAACATTTGATCCTCAGATTGAAAAATGTCTGGTTGCGTCATGGAAACGTGTTGATTTTGGGCATTTTCAAGCACTAAACGGCGCAAAAATTGTGACATCACCGGAACAAAATAGTGTTCAATGAGCGAACAAAACTCCTCGCACCATCGTTGGTGCACAGCTTTGGGACGGCCTAGTTCTCAAATCGTCCTCTAGAGGCCCTTACCTACCTCTGTGTGAAGTTTCAAGTCCTCCCTCTGAAGTGGCATACCCCGAAAAAAGAGCATCCTACAGATTTCAGCTCCCCGACTATTTCTATGTCCATGTACACGATACTAACCATGACTGATCCGCTCTGGGCTGCAAAGTGCAGTGGGCTAGCTTCATCACGGTCCACTTCGTTGATCAACTCCCTACCACTGAGCTGAACACATCAACACAGACATGACGGTAGCGGTCAGCAAAATGAACCAAAGAGGATAGGGGAGGATAGGACAAGGGTATTTGCTTACATTTGAGAAAGAGCTGTTAAAAAAGAATCACATCTCAACCCTAGTATTACGCACCACACCTGCACCTAGGATCAAGTCAAATAGTACATGTATACTATAGCAACATAACTCTGTGTGAGATCATGCACGTCGTTGCAAGTGGCGAGGTGTTCTCACCTCCAGGAGACGCTTGACACACTTCATGTTGCCATTCTGCACAGCAAGGTGTAGACACGTCGCCTCTCTGCTGTCCTTCTCCCGAACACTGCCTTGGTGACTGTGAAACACACCGATCAGCTGATAATAGCCACGCGCAGCTGCCACCAACACTGGTGTATAGCCATCCTTGTCACGTACTTGAAGAAGATCTTTGTCCTGCAGGTGAACGTATGTAACACATCAACACAAACACCCACACAACCACATACATACACAAGCACGAAACACACACACACGCGCGCGTGTCCAGCATCATAGTAATCAATGGTGCAAGAACATATCCATAGCGTTGCACCCTGCGGATATAGCCATTGCGTTTTTGCTGAAATAGAAAATACGAGGGGCTGAGAGAGCGAGAGTAAGAGTGAGAAAATGAGAGAGTGAGAGTGTGTGGGAGAGAGAATGAGAGAGTCCCAGAGGGAGAGAGTGAGAGAGAGGGGAGCAGGCAAGAGACACGGTGACAGAGAGGGACAGAGAGAGATATTGTAATGAACAAAGGTAGTGACTGGAAATTAAAATAAGAGCCAACATAGGCAGACTAATGTAAAGCTCACCTTCTCCAGCAGGTAGGCAACAATGTCCTGTCGATCAAACATAGTAGCCCTGCATCGCACACAACAGAGAACAACAGATGATGAACTGCAAGGCAAATACTGTGCTAGTCCAGTGCAGTTGAAAGAGACACGGCTGGAAGCAGAAGACGACATTGCTTCACAGGACAGCCGAGTGCAATGCTTGATAGGGAGACATCCCTGCACAGCTGGATAGTAGATTATGAGTGAGCAGTAGCAGCAGTGTGTGTATTGTGTGAGGAAGCCCTACTCAGCTGTACGTATAGCTGGCATAAATATTACGTACACAATGAGCGGGAGCAAACATTGTTCGAAGACCCCAGAGTAAGTGTACAACGGTCATTCCCCGATTTTAAGTCGCACTCGATTTTAAGTCGCACCGCCATTTTCAGGTTTGAGCCATATCGTTTCGATATATTGACTCAGTAGCAAGTCATGCTCGATTGTAAGTCGCACCCCCTTTCTTACCTTTGAATTTTAGTGTAAAAAGGTGCGACCTATATTCGGGGAAATACGGTACTAAGGCTGATAGGGTCAAACTTGGCAGCACGCATGCATCACGGCACACCAGTCAGCCATACAGAAGTCTTCATGAACTATAGTGACGATTGCACAAGACTGAGAGAGCCGCTGTTGTTGGCCGTGTGACTAACAACCGTATTGACTGGAGATGAGACAGGCTACACTTCAAGTACGCCCTGGTAAGTAACAGTATCAGCCACGCAAACACACTAACACCCCTATGCTGCACCTACACACACCATACCGGCAATGGAATAACACAGGTTAGGTGAGTGGCTACACAGGTATAGCATAACGCAGACTGGACTGTACACTGCATAGTGCAATGAATACAATTCTGATGTACTCTCGAGGACGAATTACAACATTCATGTACTACTGAGTTGCCAACACATGATCACTTTCTTCTGGGAACGTATTGTGGAAACAGAGAGAATTCAGCCCATGCCCATGTTCACCGCACTCATGCACATACAGCCCCCCCCCCTCCCCCCCCCCCCCTACACACACACATGCACACACGTTACACAGGTCCACCTTACTGCACCGATGCACGGACGCACACAAACACATAGTGACACAGAGAGGGAGAGACACCCCCTCCCCCCCCCCCCCCACACACACCTGATTCATACCTGTGCAGAGCTGTCATAAGATCGTTGTCAGCCATCTGAATGTTGGCACCGCGTTCACACAGTAGCTTGACAGTATCCAGGTGACCGTTGAGCGAGGCTAGATGAAGTGCAGTGCTGCCGTGACTCTGCAATATACAGCATCATACAGGTTGCATTTAGCAGTCAATGTGATACACAATTCCTCCAGGTGTATGTTTGTATGCAGTGGATGTGCATAGATCCATGGTGAGGCACAACTACAGTTTACCAGCATTGTGTGTGTGTGTGTGTGTGTGTGTGTGTGTGTGTGTGTGTGTGTGTGTGTGCGTGTGTGCGTGTGTGCCAGCTAGTTCGGTTGGTAGGTACACTTATGCCTGATTGTGTTGGGTCTGTTGCCAACGGTCTCGGCTACTTGAAGGTGTAATGTTGTACCTGCCACCTTTGTTGGTTCCAGGGTTCATATACTTTCTATTTGAAGTATACATACCTGTTAACCATGGACTGCTTCTGGCTAGATTAACTCTTGTGTAATCAATGGTGCTAGTGAAGCTAATATCAGATCCACTCTGATTTAGCCACCCACACTAGTAGCACGTATTACCTTCACTGGGGGCAGGGGTAACTGCAGTTGGATCCCAGGACGGATACCCTGATGCCGTCAATCCTTTTTCTGCACCTTGTCCTCACCCACTTACTGAGGTGTGGTGAGCCCATAAGTGGGATCATTTTCAAGTCCACCCAGAGTTTTGGGGATTTCAGGGGGTGTCGGCCGTTGGGCGGTTCAATAGCCAATTGAGTCATCTTTCCAAGATTCCTTTTGAGTCTCTCTCCCCTCTCCCGGGGAGACCCACGTGACCAGTTTTGGCAGTGTGCAACAAGTACAAGTACAAGTGTGTGTGTGCGTGTGTGTGCGTGTGAGTGCGTGTGTGTGTGTGTGTGTGTGTGTGTGTGTGTGTGTTGTGTGTGTGCGTGCATGTGGTGCAGAAAGATAAAGGAGGATGGAGGTATAAAGATAGAGAGAAATTAAGAGAGAAATAGACAGAAAGGGTGAGAGAGTGACAGGGTGATAACGAGTTATGGAGAGAAAAAATATTGCTTTCAGTAAACCTCGCACTTTGGAATATTATCTTTATTGTGAAATTCACTTACGTTTTGAACATTATGTTGTCCAATGTTTCCAAACACAAGCCAACAACCTGTATCACATAAAGAGATATAGAGATACGTAAAAATAGAAAATAAAAAAGAGTGACAGTGAGTGGGGGAGACAGAGAGTGGGAGAGACAGAGAGACAGAGGAAGACTGAGAGACAGAGAGAAGCAGAGAAAGGGTAAGAAACAGAGAAACAGAGAGACAGAGATAGAGAGA